AAGGTTCTTGAATATATTCTCTTTTAAATCCTCTTTTAACAAAATTTTGACCCCTCTTTTTTTATCTACAGTCTGCAAGTTTTTTAAACTCTTGCAATGGGATCCTACAACAACATCGGTTACAGACTTTCAATTGATGGGCGTTCTGTTCCATCTGCTCAAGGCGTTCCGTTCCATCTGTGCAATGCCACCGGAATGTGGATATCAAATATTTTGTCAGAAAGACTGTCAATTTCCCGGATTCAGTTGATTTCTTTGCCAATAAGATGGCAACCTCCATCACCTTAGACCTGCAAACTCATGAAAGGGCATACCTCTACATTTTTCATGCATTGGAGGACTGCATACCTTCACAAATCGTCCATGGCCTCAGTTGGGAAATCGCCTGTCGTGCCCGTGTCGAGGCAATCTCCCGCAACGAGCCCAACGTGCAAATGCAATTGCGTTTCTTTATAGATGTCAAACAAGAGAGAGAAATTGTAGAAGGTGAGCACCCTGAACCCGAAACCGAATTTGAGGCCCTCCAACAAGAGGATGAAATTCTTGAAGAGGAGATCGACGAAACAGCAACAGAGCTCGAGCTCGAGCTTCGCCACTTCATGGAATTCTCTTCGCAAGAGAGATACATTTTCAGAAGCGATTACCAACAAATGGAAACCAACGATCTAGAGCTTCTTAGAGGCATCGAGGCATCCTCACAGATGGAATGTCCTCCGAGACCAGCTGCAAGATCAGCCGTCGAGTCCTTAGCAAAGGCGGATATCAGGGTGGAAGAAGAGGTTATTTGCACTGCCTCTGCAACATCAATGCTTCCGATGGGGACGGGAGGGTACTCCCGTGAGGATTGCATCGTGCAGTGGTTGAAGTCGAGAAATTCATGTCCAATGTGCCGATTCGAGCTCCTTGCTAACCTGTCCTAGAATGCTTATCTCTAAAACGCTGTATTTACTAAAAATATTAATCTAATGTAAAGAATCTCTTTTTTTCTTTTTTCTTTTTTTTTGCTTTTTGTGCTCAAGTCTTCTAGTTTCTTTTAACTTTTTAATGCTACTTTTTGTGGTTGTCACCAATGTTAGAGAGAAAAGGAGCACCGCCATTTCAATGCAATTGTATCCGGTATCTAAACTTGTTTTAAATAGAAAGAAAAATATAACATGAAAACCAAATACGCATATCACCTTCTCAGGCGTGAGAATATTAATAGAAAAAGAGATACCCTACTCAAGAGTAGGATATTAAGAGTACAGGCAGCATTTGGGACCCGCTAGATTGGGAGAGAGAGAGAGAGTGCGCTTTTTCAATGCGTGAGCAGGGGTGGCAATGTACCAGACTTGATCCAGGACCCGTCTGTGAATAGGTCCAAGAATTGGACCCGGTGGGTTGGGTCTGGGTTCAAATAATGGACCTGAACACGTTTCGGGCCTAGGTCCAAATCCATGTCGATCCGACCCAGACTCAACCCGAATACTGTTATTATATAAATAATATTTAGTATTTAATATTTAGTTTAATAAAAGTGTGGTTCCTATAAGGTTGCACCTTTAAACAAACCAATTAAAAAACACCTCCAAATTTCACGATAGTAGCTGAACACAAGGCTGCCACCAAAATCCCACCCCCATGCTCTAAACGTATTACGTCAGCAATAAACATTTCACATTTCTCTATGAATTCATTCTTTGATTTGCAGAACGCCAACTAGCTCGCTACGAGCGCAAGTGCGAAATCAAATGCAGCCCCGGTTAGTATCTTGACTGATCTCTCTCTACAAAACTAGGGTTATTTTGATACTTGTGCTTCGTATGTGCAGGTGCTCGTAGTTGATGAAGGCATTTCAAATATCAATAATAATAACAATAATCATAAAAAAAAATTTCATTTTTTTTCTTTGTATTTCAACTTTCTTTGGATGTGGAAATCGGTCTTGATTGCTAGTTAGGGTTTGTGTGTGTATGGAGTGTTGAAATTTTGAGGGAAGAGATGGACCCCTCTCCCAAGATTACTGGCGGTGTCGCGAGACTTGGGAATTGCAAAGATCAGGCCCTTTTCCAGAACAATGAGAACTCAAAATTGACTCCATGATCATGAAACCCTTCTTAAAGAGGGATGGAAGGAGGCCGTTCTCTAACGTTCGGCTTTCTTCCTGAAATATTTGAGAAACATGCCCTTATAATCTTAGGAGGTGGGTGGTTATTTTTTACTCGTTAGATAATACACTATCTCTCTTTAAGAAGCATCTATATTTTAGTGATAAACATAAATTTTAAGCGACAGAAAGATGATACGTTTAAAGGCCCCAGGGCCACACACACGTACCAACATGAAAAAAGAATCATATGTAAGAATGGATTTTGGTTCTTTGTGTTAGTCGGAGAGTGTTTAAAGGATATTTTGAAATAACCAATAAGTGGTTTAAAGGATAAGACTTTTCTTAACTATTTGAAATCGGCTAATAAGTTCAAAAATATTTTGCCGAGAAATCGGCTAATAGGTTCAAAAATATTTTGACGAGATAGAAACGAAGGTTGAATAGGGTTTGTTTCTTTAGGGGGAGGGGCTAAAAGCCATTGCCTCCCACACGTTTGCTTGTGTGTGTAAATATAGGCCCCAGATAAGGAAAATTGTTCCATATGGGTTGTACCGTAGAATTTTTCATCCAATTTTTCTTACGCATTTACTATAAGGCAAGTTCATCCAATTTTGCTTACGCGTTTACTATAAGGCAAGGAAACTAGTACGTAGAATAAAAAGATAAAAATTACCATTTGGTGCGAGGATTTAGATAATGAAAGCACTAACTTAACCCACATAAACCTAAATTAAATTACGCCAAATTAAAACACCGAATTAGGGGTGATAAAGAGTTGGGTCCGGCTGGACCCGGACCCGAATACGGACCCATCAAGTCCCAGGTCTACCCATCGAGTTTTGGGTCTGGTAAGATCCATTGCCAACCTATGACGATGAGCTCTTTTTTTTTACCTGCTTTTTTTACATCATTTACCCTAAGATTATGAGCATTTTTTTGCCAACTTATACCCTATGACTATGGATATGGATCGGGAGAGGGTGGAACCCCAATAAAATTCGGGTCCAAAATTTGGGCTCGGATCCGTGGTCGGGTATACCCGTTGGATCCCAGGTCTAGTCAGGTCCATTGCCACCCCTACACCAAATAAATTCGATGCATCAAGACAAGAAGAGTCATTCGGTAAATTTGTAGTTATAATGTACGGAACATGAAAAATATATAATAATTTTAAGACAAGCTACTCTGAATAATCATTAGTAGAAACCAATTAGAGGCAAATAACTTTTTTTTTTGACAAAGATTCAAAGATTTTATTGCTGAGTAGGGAGAGATATTACATCATTTGAAACAACAAGAGAAGATAAAAGAACCCCACCTTTCGCCAAAGAATCTGCCAGGGCATTAGCTTCCCTAAAAACATGGACAAATGAAACAAAGATAATTTCAACTACATCCACGACTTGCAGCCAAAGGCCGCAAACTTCCCAGGGTAAGCGTTGTTCCTTTTTACACCATTTAACAACATTTAAGGTGTCCCGTTCACAGATACAAGAACAACCCAGAAATTTATCAACTAATACTTTAACCCCACACAACAAGGCACTAAGCTCAGCATAGTTGGCTATTCTAACTCCAATTGGGCCAACGAAGGAAAAAATAATATTGGCAGCGAAGGAAAAAATAATATTGGCAGCAGAGTCATGCACCACCCCACCAATACCTGCAACACCTGGATTCCCCAATAAATTCCATCCAAATTTCACTTTAGGCAATCATCAGGAGCTGCCATCCAAAGGCTTCTTAACCTTGTACATGGTCTTCCCAGCAGGAAAAGGCTACCAAGATTAGTCATTACATCTACCGCGCAGATATTCTTTCCTTCCTTGTGTATAGAAATTGAATTCTAAATAGAGAGTTTGCTATTGTTTAATAAAATAGAAAAAGGCAAAGGATTCCTCTCAAAAGTCCGCCTATTTCTCTCTTTCCAAACTTCCCAAAGGATGTTTCATTTCACGATCTGCCAAATAATTTTCCCCATCTTAGGTAGATGAAGAATGGAAAGTTGAGAAACAACGCCAGCCATAGGCTAAGGGAGTACCAATGACTAAGTTAAAGAGCCAAAACCAAATTCTCACTGTGAATGAGCAATGAATAAAGATATGAGCACCGGTTTTCTCATCCGCTTTATAGATGAAGCAAACATTAGGTAAAAATTTTTCCCTTTTGATGAGATTGTCAGTAGTGAGAACTTTATTTAAAACTGCCAACCAAGACCTGAACTTTATGAGGATCCAGACTTTAGCAAGCGAGGGGCAGGAGGCTCTCCATCGGTCATGAAAGAGAAGTTTGTACCAGACATAATTGGTCTACAATTATACACAGCCTTCCACATATGCGAGGCCTGAGAACCTCTACCACCCCCAATCCACATATTTTCTCTCTCAACCCCATATTTTGAAGCAAGCACTCTATACCACAGTTGGTCTTTAAAAATAAGGCTACGCCACCACCACTTACACAGCAGTGCCTTATTCACCAATTTTATTTTTCTTATGCCCAAACCATCTTCCGTCTTTGGAGAACAAATTCTATCCCACTTTAATGAATGAAACTTCATATTCGCATCAGTTGATCCCTACAGGAAATCCCGCATCATTTTTTCCAATCTTTTAGCAACAGAAGCAGGCATGTGGATTGGAGATATTTGGTACACTGTATTTTGCAATGCATTTTTGGACCGTCAATTTTCAAGATTTTCAAGATGGGTGCAGTTGGCATACGAATACATCTGTCGTTGTGGAGGTAAGGCGCACCTTCAAATTTTATCATGGTATATAATTTTGATGTAAAATAATCTTAGGATTATCTCAAAATCTATTTATATATCTAAATATAAAATTTTAAATTTCAAAAATTGTTAAAATCAAGTAGATCTAATATGTGAAAATCTTGAAAATAGACGGTGCAGATAATATGTTGTAAAATGCACTATTTTTTAGACTTGAAATCTTTTTATTTTTCATTGTCATACGATCAATCAAAGGTTTTTCAACATTAAAACTACCTTTTTCGATGGATTTTTTAGGTGCATTCGTAGTTCTATATTATAATGTTGCATCCTTATATAACTTTTTCCTTTCATGTTTTCATAGATATGTTGATCTACACTAATTTTGAAGCTTTAAACTTTATAAATAAAGATAAAATATATACTTTAAGGCTATCACAAATATTTTCAGTATTGAAAACACATTTCTCGACACTATTTGAAGGTAGGGTCTAATTTGATTGTTTAGAGTCTGGACTCTATACAAATTGCACCTACATTATAATGAAAAAAAATATGCAGTAATATTTATTTAAATAAAATTAAATATTATTAAAACTTTATATATTAAATATTATTTAGGTCGGGTCCATATAGACCCAAACCAGGACCTGAATGGTGTTCGGCTCCAATATTAGGACTCGGATCCAAAATGCTGGGTCTAATTATTGGACCCATACCCAGACTCAAGTTGGGTTTGGCCATCAGGTCCGGGTCCACTGCCACCATACTTCCGTAGTGGCCTCTCTATAGACATGTTCCAATGGCGCTTTCAAAGATTGACAGATATAGTCATACGCGGCTAAGTCGATCACAAATTCCACGGCACAGCCTGTTCCATCTTGTAACATTTTATACCACTAAGGGAATCCACTTCTCAATCTAGCACAAATTCAATCCCTTCTGCTTAAATATTTCAGTTTTTAGGTCGAGTCCGGTCTGGTTCGCATTTGGCGAATTTGGGTCTGGCCTTACCTGGCCCAACCCGACCTGTTGCCACACCTATTCCTATCTTTTGTTTGAAATGTGAACCATCCAATGTTGCTTTGCCTTTTAGCTAGAAAAAAAATGCAGTAAGATTGAGGATAAGATTTTTAATTTTTAAACACTTAGATCTAATCTAATGGCCCTTGTCCATTATTTTGAAGCTAATTTTTTGAAGCATTTGATTTTATTTTATTTTTTGTTTTTTTTTAGGTTGGTAGCTAGCTTGTTACAAGATCCTAAAATACACTTGGTTACTGATGGGACAATATGATTCATCATCGTCGCAATTGGTAAAACTTTTTTCCAACTAATTGAGGTTCAATATGAGCAATAGGATTCCTTAGCAAAAAATCCTTAGATATAGCTACTACCATCTAGTACTTCTTATCTTTATTCACCAAGTTACATATATTACAATGTAAACTCTCTTAAATTTCAAATTGAGCGCATTTATTAAATTCACTCAAAACAACTTCCCTCTAGAGCCCATTTGAACTCTCTTTATGCCATACATACCACTGTGAATGATGGATAACAGGGTTAAACATAATTCTTGGTATTTGTGACAATATAATTGAGGGTCCTTTGTATTTGTGACAATATAATTGAGGGTGTTGTTTGTATGGGATTGTCTACAAAGAGATTATTTATATTTGGGTGTGGTTTCTATAAGGTTGCAACCTTAAACAATCCAAATAAGGCGTACGTCCAAATTTTGTCATAACTTGTAATTTTGTTGTAAAAAAATCTTAAGATTATCTTAAAATCCATTTTCATATCTAATTAGAAAATTTTAAACTCCAAAAATCGTTAAAATCAAGTAGATCTATAAACATATGAAAGTCTTGAAAATGGACAATCTAGATAATGTGTTGCCAGATGCACTATTTTGGGACTCAAAAGCTTCTTTTTTTTTCCATATTTATATATCTCGATGTCGAAATGATCAATTAGAGGGTTTTTCAACATTAAAACAACCTTTCCGATGGATTTTTAAGGTGGTTGCGACCTTATATAAACTTTTGCCTTTATCTTTTGTACATTGAGGTCACAATTATTCTCACTCATTAGATGTCAAATTTGATAGCTTGGGGTGAGTCATGAAGTCCGAGAATTTTTTTTTTGGAACTGTGTGTGTGTTCAATGATACTCTTGCAACCACCCATTTTGAAACTTAAGGGACAAGAATTGTTGTAATCTCCATATACAAAAGATAAATGGTCTCTTTGTAAGGAATCCCGGTTTATATAAGGGGTCAAGATTAAACAATTAAAGTAGGATCCAATTTTGAACCTTGTTGAAAGATGCAATTTCAATATAGGAAACCGCTATAATGATTTGAAAATCTATTTCAACTCTTAATTATAAAAATTTAAAGATAAAAAATGTACATTGAGTGGATTTATAAATACTTAAAAATCTTGAAAATAGACGGCCCATATAATAGGTTACAAGATGCATTTCTTTTAGGACTTTAACTCTTTTTTTATCCATATCCATGCATCTCAAGATTGAAATGGTCAATTAGAGGATCTCCTAACAATGAAAGAACCTTTTCTCGTCAGGTTTCGAGGTGTTCTTGCTTTTACGACATAAGGTTAACACTTTATATAAATTTTTTTCTATACTTGATATTCACTCTCCATTTGCAAGAGTGAGTTGTGGCTGAATGTGGTATATTTTTACACAGATTGTCTACTAGGATATTATATACTTTTGGTAGGGCATGGTCACAATCACTCGTAGCGGTCAAATGTTAAATATGTCAGCTTGAATACTTTATGCAGCCCGAGAAATTCTGTAAATAATTTAGCCCATTTAATTGTACATTTCCAGTTATACAATTGCAAAACATTGCACATCTCCATCCATTTGATTTACATCTACTAGCCGAAACTGGTTATGATCTCCTTATACTACAGATAAATTATGTCATTATATACCTTCCCCCCAAAAAAACATCTTCTTTAGTCAACCATGCTTGATCCATATAATACTGATTATTTTTATGGAAATATATACAATGAGACCATTTACTTTTGATATAAGGAGGTCACAATTATCATCGACTGTTACATTTGAGATCGGGCTGTTAAGTGTGTGTTATTGTTTGGGCACAAAGTCCGAAACAAAATCTCTTGAATGTTATCATACAATTTCATCTATTGGATTTCACATTCAATGGTCAAAAGTAATTGTGACCTCCTTGTACTAAAAATAAATGGTCTCGTAGTAACAATATTTATTTTTATTTCTACCATAGCTTTCTGGAAAGGATAGGTAATATAAGTAACATGGAGTAGCCAACACATGCAAGTACGTGCTTATAGTACTAGATTAAGCACAAATCAATCCCTTAAAATATAACTTTCACTGAGGTCCTTTTCGATTCCCATGAAGATTGGATGTCATATTTTCACCTATATACAGTCACTAAAGTTGAATCACTAAATATCAATCAGTTCTCCAAAATCCTATTAAAAATCCAAAAAACAAGTAAATCAATCCAGATAAAAAGACATGCAACTCAAAATTGTAAGAACTATAACTTGATGACATTAAATTAAACCAATATTTACAAGGCAGTTTACTAAGAACAAAATTTTACAACTGCCAATCAAACATAAACCTGGTGATTGATCCACCACACTTGGTCCTGGTCTAGATCCACCTCTATGCAACATATAATAGGAAACCCAAAATGGCTTCTCTCTGAACTTTGCAGACATGATACAACTTAGCAACATATTTTAACAAGAATTTCATAAGGAACAAAAACGTATCCAATGAACCCCTTTTTGCTCATGTCCTTATTTTCCACTTCATTCTTGGCTACATATTGTTGTCCTTCAGTTGATGACCATGATTCCTATCACTATCTCTTTGCCACAATTGTCACATATGGGCGATCCTTACAAATCTAACAGTGTCCTAGGATTATGCAGATAGTCGAGAATCATCATAGAAGAATGCTTTGCATGGCGTAGCGTATCAAACTGAAAATGGTTTTTTGCGCAAAAGGCAAAGAAGGCCTGTCGTGTATGAAAAATTTCATTGTCTATCTCTTCATCATCCTTAATTTCTGAAGGAACGTTCATCTTGACCTGTAAGGAGTTAATCTATAGTAAAAAATCATGCTGGCTGAAATGCTAAGTGATGAAGCAGAAAAAAATATTTTGGAAGCATACCTATAACTCAGTAGAAGGGAAAGTACAATATAACATATTTTGGAGAAACCATTTTCCATTTGATCATCACCATCCAATGTTATAATGGACATTGATGGATAGATGGGGTTTCCATGTCATGTTCAAGTGCATTTTACATTCTCTCCATCACTGCCCATCTTTTATATGGTCCACAATAACCCAATGGACTATGAATTTATACTTTCACATTTAAGAAACCTATAAATATTAGCAGTTGAAATGCATAGAAGACGGTCCATGCATGCTGAAATCAAATGAGATAGGCTGTGTATAATTGTTCTACTTACAGGAGTTACGTCACATGTTTCCATTTTGTTATTGGCATGCCAATCCTTGTCATGAAGTTTTTGTTCTTCGTCGTAGCAACTACAAGAGCAACATCAAATTAGCCAACATTTTCATCATTCAAAAGTTAGAAATAGTTTTGCTGGAAGTACATAATGCATCAATGTCATAATAATTGAATTTATAAGTAAAGTTATTGTAACTTCTTGAACATGACAGGTTAGGTTCAGTTTTGCGCTATCTGGAGTACAATATTAATTTCTATATAAATGCTAAAGAAATGAGGCAGAAGAAGGATTAATCCTACTTAATTATTGGCAATACTCCAACTCCCAATTACAAAAAATCTCCGTGTGACATGGGATGATAAAATTTCAATTTTTGCTGCATCCATATTTTGCTTGGTGCTTTGCTGCCACTTCCCCTTCAAAACTGGTTTTTAAATTCTAGTCATCTCGGAACCAACAATGTCTTAATAATCATTTCTAGAGAATACTAATAATCACCTTCTTCATTTTTGGTTCAAATTAAACTCCTGTGACACCATTCAGTTTAGGCCTCTACAGATGCTTTTCTTCCCACTGTAAACAAAATCATACATGATACTATTTTCAAGGATCACAAGTGTTCATCTTGATATTAACACTTGGAAGTATTGGTCAAAACATTCACTTAAATTGATAATTGTGAAAATACATTAATTAAATGAAGATCAGATGGAAATAAGCACTTACTTCTCACAAAGACAAAAATTTTCATCTGGCTTGCAATCCCGGGTCTTCCCAGTTAGTACAAACTGACCACAGTGGGTGCATGCATACTGCATGTGGAGCATGATGAACTCTTTTTTCTTTTCACTAATGGAATCTGCAAGCTGAAAAAAGTAAAAAAATGTAAATTAACACAAATATAATAAGATGAAAAAACAAAAAATGAATGAATTACATAAAATTATCAGCTCATAAAAAGACAGAAAAAAATGTTAAAAAATCCCCAAAAATCTGAAGCACAAGTAACTCATGATGATATGATATCTGTGTAGAAAACTGGCATCTAAGATCAATTTTTGGTAAGTTGTTCAACCATGTTTATGGTATAACAGTTCGATTGGAAAAAATGTTGAATTTAAAACATTATAGGTAGAAAAGAAAAAACAGTTCGTACTTTCTGCATCAATACTACTTCCTTTGAAGCATCATTTGCAACTACAACTCGGGTTGGATTTTCTCGAGCCACTTTAGAAGCTGGTCTTTGTCCACTTTTCCACCTTTTTTTGCCTTCTTCTATATGAATATTGGCAATAATATACTCTGCCTCTCTAGGAAAGTAGTCTCCATCAAAATATGGCACCCGACTGATGGTAATCTTCGCATTCTTTTCACATGAACGCATAAAGAGCTGCTCATACATATCCATCTGCTCCACTACAATATCTTCATTTTTGGCCTTCTCTATCATTTTAAGATACCTATGAAACAAATAAATACTTATTATACTCTGGTTCATTCTGTGCTCCATTACAAGACAACACTTTAATCTCTAGATACTGGCATTTCTAGATTGCAATCTAGCATTCATTGGAACGATTGAGAGAGAGAGAAAGCTAACCACTGACGTAGCATACCCAACTTTGGTGACTTTTGTGAATTTGGATGGCAATAGAAGATATAATCATCACCTTTCAAAGGAGGGCAGACCCATATATAGAAGCTTACAAAACCTCTTTTTTTGCAATACTCGAGATATCCAACCTGAGAAACAAAAATAATCATTTCCATTGATCACTCAAATAATTGCTCATTACAGAAGCATAACTATCTTAACTGAAATATTATAGCAAAGCCACAATATTCATCAAAGATTAAGAATATCAACCAGGAAGTAGAATTATATATAATTTTACATGTGGTGTAATGGTGATATTTTGAAAATATCTGATATAACTGAACCAATGACAAATAGCATCAGTGTGCTACAGCACTTCCTTAAATATTCACTGAAAAGATAACATATAAACATAGCAGCTATTTGGGCAATATTTTCTAAAAATATTGGATATAAAGGGATTTATACTGGACATGATGCAAATTTTTAAAGAGATTGAAACACAATACATTGGCCTTTACACTGATATAAATCAGCCGATACATTAAATAAAAATAAGCAATATATGATCATTTGCCTAGTGTTGACAAAATTGTCCCATATCTTGACAGGCATGGTCTAGAGTAGATATATCATCTGCTATATATGATTTGTTAATTTTTTAAAACTTTGAGATACAAGCACAATTCTCAATTGGAAAACATCATATTAGTAGCTCCTAAACTTATGCAGTATAGATACAGAGCATGACAATATGAAGAACGGAAATGGAATTAAAAGAAAAGCATGAAGAACTATGAGATTCTCACCAAAATTTCATGATACACAAAAGTACGAAGAGCCTCCCCCGTTGCAGCAACAATCGCAGGCTGGAAATACTTGACAGAATCAAGGTATGAAAGATATACACAGCGATTATTTGGATAGGGACAATCTGAACCATACTCTTGGACATGCATGCAAAAAAGGCAAACATCTACACCTTCAATTTTTTGGAACAACAATATGACCTGCCAAAAAAAATAAAAAATCAAGAAAGCCAAGTCAGGAATGTAATCCAGCTACTACCAAATTCAAGACATTTTTCAACATCAATGCTTCAAAATTGACAGCATGAACATCATAATGGGCTTGCTAATTTTTATTTTCTAAATTCATTACCTTTGACTTGTATGAGAACTCTGTTGGGTAATCTTTAACAATATCCAAAAAGTGTTGGTTCACTTGCAATTTCTTGCCAACAGAGGAGACAACTCTGATGACAAGATCTTCTGCTCCTGGCACCTGGAACCAATGTGGTTATCACTATATTTAGTATGCTTTACAAGTTGAACCCACCATTCATTGATGAAAAGAAGAGTCAACAATAGTATATTATGCCAAGCATTTAACAGTGCATGCACATGTTACCATTTACATCAACCCGACAATGGAAACACCATCAGTAAGAAACTAAGACTCATTAGAAGCAATGGGGTGATTCCAAAGAGGAAGAGAAATTGAACAACATGGTCTGCAAGGCTCAAACCCAGTCTCTAGCGCTCATCACTCGAATAGGAATTTTCATGCATACTATTGCTACTATAATTCTGAGCAGGGGAACCTCTTTAACTCTTTTCTATTCTCTGTACTCTTTGTTTTCATGTTAATGTATGTATCTCAGATCAGGACACGGAGTTGAGTCCGTGATGTGAAATATGATATGCAAGGTTTTAAAGAGAGTTAAAACACATCATGCATGTGTTCATTAAACTAAATGAAGATTATTTAAGATAAGCTAACATTCATTGAACTCATCCATTTATAAAGAAATTTCAGGCATTCTATTTTCTTCATATGGGGATACTATGCGAAAAGAGAAAAAAAGAGGGAAAAAATGTTCATATTGTAAAACTAAAATCAAGTACAAAATAACCCTTTGTTTCCTTGAAAACACAAAACCATTCAATGTGAAAAAAAAAAAATCAAATAGCCCTAGTTTATTCAAAATTTTCCAGTACACACACATGCATGATTGCAAGAAGAAAAGCATATCTGAGTAGACTCGTTACCTCATTGACATTCTTCCCTGATCGTCTTGCTCTTTCTCCTCTCTCCTGCTTAAGCCCCTCAAACAACCTATGCTCCAAGTGATCACTAAGGAATGTTGTTGGCAAGTCTTTTGCACTGCGAAGAGCACTTTGAGGTAAGGGCTTTCGTTCTCCTCCTTCAACCCCCTTTAAGTAACACTTAGGACATATATATTCCGCTTCCTCGGAATAATTTTTTCGCTTATTGAAAAGAGAACATATCTGATGATTCCAAGATTGGCATCCATCGCATTGAACCCACTGCAAAAAAGCATCACACAACGACTAGGATAAAACATCCACAAAGATGAGAATTATGTCATATCTAGCTTACACGAGATTAGGACCCACCTCTTCATCAAGTGTACCAACATGCTTTTTCTCATCAAAACTAGACTTGAGAATCTTAGACCTCTCAACTTCAATTCTCTTGCATGATCCATGGAAGCATTTACGACAAAAATAATATTGTTTCTCCCTAGTGCTTGTGGTATAATATGTAGCATCTCTCTTGACAAGAAGACCACATTGATTACAATACACATCAGGTGGTGCAAAAGAGAGCTTCTCCATACCACACATCTGGCAAGAGCTTTGATTCACAGAACTCTCCATTGCTTGGCAATGTTCTGCCTTTGAATTAGTCTTGATGGACTGGAAACATGAAAAAGTTAGTGAATCTGAAACTTATCACTTGCACTAGGACATTTCAAGAAGTAACTACCATCTGGAAGAAAAAGGTAACATGTTTACACTTGAATATCAGAATGACTACAATGTTATGGAATGACAAACACCAAATAATTAATGGAGTAAGCTCTCCAACTATAAAAACATGATTATAAAGCCCGATATATAAATTCCTAGAAAAATGCCCATTTATCCCAGGACACCGTCATCTGCCTAAAGAACTGTCAACCTTGTGGCCTGGCATAATAAACACAATCATATCTTCCTCAGACCTTAATACCAAAACATGGCCGTCAATTACCTAGGCGTCTATGAAGGAAGAGTTCAAGGCCAACAGATCAAATAATACATTCCCCATTAAGTGTATTTTTATCAGTAAAGAAATATGCATGTTCTTCTACATGCGATGCAACATCACATGTAAATTATACACAGATAAGTGAAATTAAGTTACCAATAAAAAGAAGAGTACAATTATATCCTACATTGTAAAATATTAATGTGCTCATTTTGCCGAAATCTACTAAGAATTCTGCAAAAGACATCTCAATCTGACAAAAAAAACGAGGGCTAGTTGGCATAATTTTAACCAGGAGACTACTCACAGTTCCTTTGATCGCTTAATGGACTGGATCCATCTCAGGAATTGCGCAAATGAGATTATTGCCATAATTAGAAACCCATGTGCATTATCTACATGCATTTTTTCATGACACGTACATAACCACATCGAAGTCAGGCTTATGAAAAGAGAAACTGGTTTGGCACATGACCAAATTACATAGTGATCATAGCAATCCAAATGGTCTTGTGCAACCAAAACACAGCGCATTCTAGAAACTCAACGACTGCATATTAGAAGTCATAAGGAAGCCACAACACAGCTGGCCCTTATGACATCTTCGAAGAGAGGAATCAAACTACTTCCTCGAAAGGAAATCTGTAAAGTGGAGAATCATACTTTGACCCCATTCTAGAAACTCAATGGCTGCATATTAGCATCCCAAAGATGCATGTGTCCGATATCGAGCATGTTGATGAATGCAATTTAGACAATAGTATCGTATGGCTCTCATGAGGAATATGTATAATTAAACATGCTATTCAAACTTCAGAGAACTCACAGGAAGACCTCTGTATGGTGGAAAATTGGGGCCACAAGAGGATCCGACAATAATTTTATATACTGTGTTCAAATTGAATAATCCTAAATAGTGTATATTGCTTTGTAAAAGAAGAAGTACGATATCCTGGAATATTGATAATCAATTATCTTTAGATACTAAACTGAAAAGCCCCACAAATATCTAACTACCTTGAGAGTCTTATCTACTTATGCACCATAAAAACGTGGTAGAATACCTCATTCACAGATAAAAGAAAGTAGACTACTGGTGGCAAAATCTTTAGGACAAGGCAATAAACCTATCAAATTTTGCAATTCAAGAGAGAAACATGTAAAGCTTGCTTTGGCAATCAACCTAAACTATGACAATCTCATTTATTTACTCTTAAGGTTGAGATAGTTCAGAATGGCAGTCCTCAAAGAAACACAATGCATGGATTCCCTTCCATATCAATAATGTCAAGAAGCATGAAAAGTAGGTCACTATCCCTTGAGAAAGAATACTAACCAGACCAACGCACTGCCTGAGGGAGTTTATATGATCAGTAATTTGCTCTGGGGTGAAAAATTCAAGCAAAGAAGCACCTTGTATCTTTTGCTTCCCATGCATGGTTCCTGCTTCACAATCAACCCATAAGATAGCAGGCTCCTGGTTCATTTCCATCTTGCACATGTTGAGTTCAGTGCGATTTTCACTGGTGATTTGTGATGATAATTCACTTGAGGATATTAAAGGAATACCTTCTTTCACCTCAGTAGTGTGCTCCATACCATTGTCCATTTTGTTCCCTGGAATCTCATGACCAAAGGTTAGGGAACTTCCCATCTTTGTTGCTGTATCCTTAACTAAGACAAAACCAGGCGTAGTGTGCTCCATACCAATGTCCATTTTGGTCCCTGGAATCTCATGACAAAAGTTTGGGGAACTTCCCATCTTCATTGTTGTATCCTTAATTACGACAAAACCAGGCTCTTCGATGTCAGCAATTGCTTTTACTGGCACTTGATCACAAAACTGTGATGTTTGCGATAAAGGTTCTGGTGAAATACATTTTGTCGGTAAGTGCTCAAACTTCATTCTTTTTAATGGAGGCTGCAGATCTTCAGAAAGCACAGTGCTCAGAATCTTGGGACTGCAACATTTAGGCTCTTTCCTATTTTGCATTTTTGTCCCTGGATTTCCATGAGCAGATGTCAAGGAACAATAAAACAACCTTGGAGTATCTCCAAGTTCAACAACAGCAGGACCTTCATTTTGAAAGCTCTCTTCTACTTGCTCAGGATCAGAAACCTCTGGTATTGAGGCAACAGGTTCTGGCAAGAATTGGATTGGTGAAGAATGTTCGGCCCTCATTCTTTTTGGTGGATATTGCACATCTCCCAAAGGCGCAGAGCTCAGAGCTTCTTTACTGTTCCTTGTCAAATCTACCTTCCAAAAATCCGACGGCTGGTGAAAAGATATCAATATGCAAACACAACTACAAACAAGACAATCTTGGTCGCTACAATTGCAATAGAGCCCCCACAATTTCCTCAGTTGACGACAATAAAGAAATGGGCACTGAATTTGTTCACAAATAGAAATGTGCATCCAAATCCTTTGGGCATATGCACATAGATAAAACGAGCACTGGCCTGCTGGAGCTGAACATGTGCTGCCATGGTCCAAAAAAACGAGCCATTCAACGCATTTCGAAGCTTCACTAGCAGGATTTTCAAGCATTCGGTTTTGAGGAGAGGAAGCCTTTGACAGGGGGCATTTCATTGAACCAGTAGATTGTGCATTCAAATCTTCTCCATGTGAAGGAACAGATTTTCTAAGAACTTCTTCACTGCCATGCTGCTTCATCAATGGAGAATGTGAATGGTAGGAGCCAGTGCATATACTGTCCAAATGCATATCCAATAGTCCCTGCTTTGGTTCTTCTCTCTGGAATCCAGAAGTTGAGTCACTGAGGTGATTTCTTGATTGGAATCTTCTTTTTTTCTGTGACAACATTGTTTTTTGAGGCATAAATCGGTGACCCACTATGTGACATTCATTCGTGGGATCATTCCCCCAATGATTTTGTTGATAGCTAGATGGGCTCTGATAAATCAAATGTTCCTGATGTTGATCTTGTTGACCAATATGTGGCTTGGCTTCTGATAAGCTGAAATACTGAAGAGCATTCAAATCACCATCGGGAATCCCACTGCTGTTTGCTGTCAATGAGTTGGGTTCTTGATTGATCTCTGATACAGTATGGGATCCTCCATAAAAGCCCCCTCCATTGAGAGCCTTCACAACATCGAGATCATCCAGCTGAAGCAGTTGTGTAAAAGTCATGTTTTCCAGTCCATTAAAGACTCCTCCATCGAAGGCCTCCCCATTATCAAGTGACCCTGCAATGAAGGTCCCTTAATTATATCAGACCGAAGCATACATTTGTGCCGTAATCATACACACCATCAATTCACCAACATAGCAGAGTTTTTAGAAGCCAAAAGTGTAAAACCGAAAGGAATGATGGAAAAGAGGAACTTACCATCCAATTGTTCTTGATCTTGTTGATGAATTGGTCGCTTCGCTTCCAATGAACTGACATACTGAGAAGCATTCAAATGCCCACAAGGAATCGCACAGCTGTTTTCTGTCAATGAGTTGCATTCTTGATTCATCTCCGATACAGTAGTAGCCCCTCCATTAAAGACTCCTCTATTGAAGGCCTCCACATTATCAACTGACCCTGCAGTGAAGGGTTTTGTAATTATCTCAGGTGGAAACAAATTCAAGAAAATAAAAAGAACCAACAGAACCATCCAAGAAAAACATCTGAAGCATGCTAATTTCGAGTAACTCTGCTACCAAGGGCACCTCAAAACACTCAGATGAAAGAAAATTGAAGAAAATGAAAAGACTCAAGGGAGACATCAAATAAATGTTTCTAAAAGATACTTCCAGATACTGCAATGAATGTTTATTTAGATCCATCAGATAAAAGCAAATTTAAAAGAAGATGCAAAGAAACAAGGGAGCTATACAAGAATTCAAAGAAATTTTGCCTCAGGGATTCCTTAAAAGACTCATGTTAAAGCAAATTATAGAAAATGAAAGAAACCAAGGAAACCATCTAATAATGTTTGCAAGTTACTCTGCAGTGAGGAATTATTTAAAAATATCACGTAAAAGTAAATTCGTAGAAACTGGGAATCAAGGGAGGAACCATCCACCGAAATATTTCTAAAAGCACAAGCAACTTTACAATGAGTGTTTTTTTAAGTCTTTGATAAAAGTAAATTTGAGAAAAATAAAATAACCAAAGTAACCAGGAACCGTGCTCAGGTTTGAGTTGTTTGTTGTTGATGATTGGAGCACTACATTCTAAGTTCGATTTCTACCACTGAACTCCCAAAAGAGAAAAATTAATAATAATAACCAAGTAACCATACGAGAAGTATTGCATCCACATGCTCATTCAAGCACCTGCGCAACAGAATGATCTCTAAATTCATCAGATAAAAGGAAATTCCAGAGTTAAAAGAACGAAGAGAACCATCCATGAATTATCTCTGATATGTGTTAAATTCAACTAACCATGCAATGGATGGTTCTTTGATAAGCTAGGTGGAACCTAATTCGAGAAAAAGAACTGAGGGAGCAATCCATGAAGTATTACAGAGACATGCAAATTTTAAGTAAACCCATAAATATATCAGCTCAAACAAGTAAATCCATTTATTATCTTCAAAGCATGTTAAATTCAACTAAAACTTGCAACAAATGCTTTTCTTTAAATAAGCTCAAATAAAACCAAATCCAAGAAACATTCAAGAGTATTCCTAAAATAATTAGAAATAAAAGCAAATTCAAGAATCAACAGAATAATTCATCTCTAATAAAAATATATAACCATCCATGACACCTTCTAGTTTGAAAAACTCATCTGATTTTACACACTAAGAATTCACCAATTTTCTTTCGGAGAATTCTCTCAATCTCTCTCTCTCTCTCTCTAGGTTTTCAAATACCCCAAAACTTCGTAACTTTCTAGGATATGTTCTCTGTAAATTTCTCTCCTCTCTAATTGCCCCAGCTTGATTTCAAATTTTCTCCTGGGAAAAACAGCGGGAGATGTATGTGATCCCTCAAGAGCAGCTGTACAGTTACACCCTCAGATACAAGACCTATGTTCGTTCTAAAAATTTTGGATATATTTGAATTTTTAGTTTTTAGTCACTATTACCTAATCATCAATATATTGTCCGGAGGCACATCCTAGCCATCCATTCTGGACACTAGACGGTCTATAGGGATGTTTCTATTTATGCAAAACATGAACAGGTCGTATGGTAACCCTAAAAAAGTGTAAATAAAAGAATGGGGCGGGAATAAGTATCCGTGAGTTTGATGTAGTGGCCAAGGACTTAGGAGAGAGAGAGCACCCAATAGTTGGGCAGAGAATAGGTACGATCGGGTCGGGATCCACTAGATCCAGGTTTGGATCTGAAAAGGATACATCGGATCTTGATTCGATTCTAATCGGATCTAGAATATTTGAATTCGAATTTTAAATCCAAAAAGTATACATGAGATTTAGATCTAGACCCGATCGGAACCAATAAAATTTTATATCTATAAAATAATATATAAAAAAATATTATATAAAAAAATATTATATAAAATAATATATAGTACTTTAATAAAAAAGTCGGATCCAGATCGAATCCACATGTACTACTATTCATGTATGAATTTTGGATCCGGATCTGACCCTTCAAATCCAAATCTTTGATCCACAATTGGATATAGATAAAGACCGAAATTTGAGTTTCGAATCCAAACAGGGTAAATTCTCAACCAATAGAGAGAAGCCTGTGTATATGGAGAAAGAGAACATCCACTAAAGATAGTAGAGCAGGCAACTGGCCGGCTAAGCCAAACCTGACCCTAGCCCCATAGGGCAGCACACCCTTATCGGCCCAAAGAGGCAAAAGAGGGGAGGACTAGGTTGGGCCGATCCGAACGGAACCGGCGCGGCCAAAAAAAAAAAGAGACCACTCAAGACATAGAGTTGATGATCACCTATAGCCGACGTACGATCGTTCCCCCTCCTCAACTTCAATCTCATTCCCACTCGCTTCTCCCCCGTTTCTTCTTTCTTCACTGCTTTTTGTCTCTCTTCCTGAACCACCACCTTTTCTCTCTCTTCAACTCCTTTTCCCTATCTTTCTCTCTCTTCTATCGCATCAAGTTTCAGACCAATTGTAACTTGGGTCTTGATGTATGAAAAACAAAGGAATTTGTGTTAAGGAAAAGAATTATAAAGAATGAAAAGAAGAAGTAATGAAACAAATTTGAAAAGATAAACGTTTCAAGAAGCACACACCCAACTCTTAAGAATTGTTGAAATCTGATAGGAATAGCAAGTCTACATTATCTTTTTTTAAATGTGAAGTTAGTTAGATATACAGATCTTATCTCAGTAGGATCTAGGATCGTACAATCACTATCTATTTAAATATTTGAGCCTTAGTCTCTCTCTTATCTCTTATCTCTCTCTCTCTCCCTCCCCCCAATCTAAAACGATATTTCTTGTCCTAATCCCCACATTTTTATATTAAATTACGGTATGTTTTAGCCCATAATATTAGGATATCTAATTTAGTCAAATATCATCTTAATATTTGTTTAAAAAGCTATAGTTATATACATACGGTAAAATTTCCTAATTATTATTATTGTTTAAGGAAAATATAATAAAATGGTTAACGATTTAAAACAAAGTATTTCACTTATTTGTAATATCTTAAGTGACAATTCTTTAGACAAAAATTCATTTTTATATTAAGCAAATATGTTGTAAGTAATTTTAATTTGCATTGACTCCCATATTATAATTTAAATCATAAATATTTAATATATAAAATATTTTCACTTTATGGGTAATTTTGAAAGATCAAAACTTAAAATCTTAATTAATAAACAAAATAAATTTAGATGCATAACAATATAACGAATTGGGGGTGCTCGGGCATGGTTCGTTGCTTATTGTTTATTTGAAAATACAAGAAGTCTTTATCATTTTGAAAAAAAAAATCTTTTTCCTACTTATAATTTTTTTAATTGAATTTCTCTAAAATAAATGGAGGTTTTATAATAAATTTCAATCCATACTAAGTAAATTATAATTTTTAATTAATTTTAAATATTTATTTTTGAAACTATAAATTTCATATAAAAATGATTTCAAATTTAATTAATACATAATTTAAAGTTATAAATATAAATTAAATTTCATAATTGGGCAATTGTTATATTTAATAAATAAAATTAAATTTAAATAATTATTATTCACAAATAAATTTATTTTTTATAAAAAATATAGTACAATCACCATTTTTTTTTATGAATTCAAACAATGTGCAAAAGATCACTCATTTTCTTTTATTTACTTTTTTTTGTGTCTTAATCTTATATTTTCTTTGTTCTAATGTGAAGTTCCTTATATATATAAATATCATATCTCCCTAGGATCTGGGATCGTACTGTCACTTTATTTTAAAATTTGAACCATAGTTTCTCTTGTATCTCATAGCCTTACTACAACTGATAAAGAAAGAAGATTAGATTTATCAAGAAAACAAAAGATATCAAAGAAGATAAGATTTATCATATTGCCTTACTACAACTGATAAAGAAAGAAGATTAGATTTATCAAGAAAACAAAAGATATCAAAGAAGATAAGATTTATCATATTGCCTTACTACAACTGATAAAGAAAGAAGATTAGATTTATCAAGAAAACAAAAGATATCAAAGATGATAATATTTGTCATATTGCCTTACTCAAGAAAATTAGATTTATCAAGAAAACAAAGGATATCAAAGAAGATAAGATTTATCAAGAAAAAGAAAAGGCATCAAAGAAGATCAGATTTATCCAGAAAACCAAAAGACACTTGTTAATGTTTGTTGATGGAGCATTAATGTAAGCAGAATATATTAAATTTTTATCCAAAATTTCTTACGCAGTTACTATAAGGCAAGGAAACTAGTACGTAAAATAAAAAGATAAAAATATGAATTGGGCCAATTTTCGGTGAAAATTATGCCGAAGGCCAGTCAACCATGTTTTTAATTTTTCAAAAATTACCATTTGGTGCATAACAATCCTCATACTACTTTTAAATTTTTTGATCTTTTTTGTTAGTAGGGCAGTGCCCTAGTGTTTTTTGTTCGAAAAAACTTAAAAAAAATAAAAAATAAAATGTGGGCCAAGGATCATCCTTGGACGAAGGGGAATTTTGAAAAAAATAAAACACCTCATGATGACCGACCTTCTACATAATTTTAACCCAAAGTTAACTCATTTCACATTTTAAGATTTGTGTCCATAAGTAATTTACTAAAAAAAAAAAGAAATAATAAAAAATAATAATAAAACACACAAACCAAAACTCAACATATTTTCACTTTCATCTATATCCAAGAATCAAATTACACAAAGAATTACACATACAACAAATATAGTTGTTGACATAATGGTGCAAAAACCAGTTTAAGGCAAACCAATAGCCAAAAAAACAAATTACACAACGAATCCAAGATTCGTGACTATGAAATAAATAATAAAAAGGCAGAAATACATGATACAAAGCAACAATAACAAAGAAGTAAACAAACATCTAGGATGAATTCAAGAAAAGGTATACAAAGAAACCGCTTTCAAACAAAAACAGGAGCAAACAGAATAACAAACATGATGGTGCAGCTAGGATTTAGATAAAGAGAGCACCAACTTAACCCACACAAACTTAA